CACACACAATCAATCAATCAATCAATCAATCAATCAAATCAATCAATCAATCAATCAATCAATCAATCAATCAATCAACCAAACCAATCAAGATCCTATCCAATAGATATTGAGCTTGCTCACGATTTATTCGACACACACTCACGTATTATAGTGCCTTGCTAGCGATATTGAGCTGGCTGAAGTAACTGTGATTTCACTGTTTGAATAGCTTGCACACATTGACCAGGGTCCTGCGGCGTTGTCTGCTGCTCTAGGTCTTGGAGCCTTGGAGGTGGCCCGAAAGGTCCATTTCATGCTGGTTACGCTGTCTGACTAGTTCTTTGGAAAATTCATTGTATTTTTTGGCAAAAAAAAACAGGTCTGGCCCATTATTGAACCAAATTAGCGACGACCCCACTTCGGGGCGACGTTCCCTCAAGTATTCCCAAGCTTAAGTCAGATATTGTTGGAACGATGTGAGGTGGAGCAAGGAGGTGTTCAGTTTATATAAACCAAGACCCTTGGTCCGACCTTTTATGGAAGGCAAGCGTCATCATCCACATCTTATGATGGCAGGAGGATTGCTGCCAATGCCAGGCTCCCTGCCAACTCTTCCGAGATAAGCATCAGGTCGATCCTTGACTTGGACAGCCTGGTCGGGTCATGGTTCCTAACACGCATGAATGTTCGCTCCGTAGGGAAGAAGCGGCGAAAGGTGTCAAAGAGGAACAGAGAGCTGCACAGGCGACTGAGCATGCTGCTCTCATCGCCCTTTGCCTAACGTAGAATAGAGGGACAAACTTGCCAGCGATCCAACCATCGGTCGGGGGCTGCGTTAAAATCCCCCGCGAGGATGATCGGGATACCTTGCGGGATTTTTATTTGAATATTTTGAAAAAAAGCCTGACGGTCTGACACAGTATTCGGAGCATATATGCAAAAGATGCAAACGACCTCTATCTCTAAGGCCCCCAACACATAGACCCACCGCCCCTCCTCCATGTCCTGCTCCCAGTACAACATCACACGAGACTCTGGGGGGATCCATACTGCAGTCCCTGCCCTCGCTGGCCCTGGTGCATGTGCCCTGTAGGCCAGGTATGGCCAAACTGCCTTATGCGCTCTACGGTGGTCGAGGGAGTCCATCAAATGTGTTTCCTGAACGCAGACTATGTCGGGCCAGCTTTGTCCCCCAACCCCTTGGAGCAAGTCACATATAGCTTGAGACTTGTCTGGACAGTGCGTGGCTAGTCCATTAAAGTTGATGGATCTGAGGTCCAGATCTGCATTTCACAGGGTGCTATGCCAGACTCTGTTACGACCGTATATTGCGAGGCAAAAAACAAGCCGGGTTGTCTGGGTTGCCTCGGCCCAATTTCTCAAAGGTCTGTCTGTAGGACCAGACGCTCAGCCTCTGCCCAATCAGGGGCGCATCTCCTGACAAACCGGCCCAGAGTCTGATGGAAAGTGACAACCGGGTAGGTTTGTTTCCTCAGTTCTTTTTTCAGAGTCAGTAGACAGTCAACTGGGCAGGGAGGCAGTTTGCCTGCCAAATGGCAGGAACCCCTCCCACCATTTGTGTGTGTGNACCATTTGTGTGTGTGTGTGTGTGTGCAGGGGGGGGGGTGACCCCCCCCCCCCCCCCCCCCCCCCAATCAATCAATCAATAAATAAAAAGAGAACTCTGTGTGAGTGTGTGTGTGTTTCTGTGAGTGTGTGTTTCTGTGTGTGTGTGTGTGTGTGTGACGCAACCCCCACCCACCCAATCAATTAATCAATCAATCAATCAAAAAAACGACAAAAAGTTGAATGCGGGTGTGTGTGTGTGTGGGGTGGGGTTGGGGGTGGGGGGTTGGCGACCCCTCCCCAACAGATCAATCAATCAATCAAATCGAAAAATGACAAGAAAAAAAGAAAACACTATATTACTTGACTGATTGATTGATTGATTGATTGATTAGTTGGTTGGGGCTCGCGGGAAGGGGGTCCGAACCCCACCCCAACCAATTAAATTGAATTAATTAATCAATCAATAAATAAATAAATCAATAAATTATGGAAAACTTAAAAAAAAAAGGGCAATCAAGGGGGGTTCCAAATTATTTTCACCCCCATATCTTCTATGAATTATTTTATTTTTACTCAACAGACAAGCACAAAATTTAGGGGCAGTTGCCTTTATTTATTTCTTTTCTTTTTTTTCCCCCTTGCGCAGGGGCCATGCTAATCTTCCCTGTATGCCCCGAAGGACAGCAGGTGCCTTAGGACGTGAACTAACCACCAATTTTTTTTTAAAAAAATCAATAAAAATTGGCCCTGAAATGAGCTTTGGGGGCGCCCGAACTCCTTCGGGGACGGCCCCGAACCCCCCCCAGAACGACCAAACGTTCGGGGGTCGGCCCGGGGGAGTACACCCCGAACGACCGAACGTTCAGGGGTCGGCCCGGGGACCTCCGACCATTCGGCCCCATAACCCTGTGTAAAAGTACATAAAAAAGCCGGAGAGACACTGTGAAGTGGATTGAACATTCCTTAGCATTGTCATGAGGGCACGGTTTCATCAGCTCTGACAAAGTACCGTCAAGAAAAGATTGGAGCTTTTGGACGTACACATCAATCACATCAACCAAAACGAGAGAGAGAGAGAGAGAGAGAGAGAGAGAGAGAGAGAGATGCAATGATGAGGTAGGAGGCACAGACATTACTATCATATTTAGGGGAGAACTTATGATGGATGTCAAGAGTAACAGCCGCAAACAGCCACGAATCCTGCTCCGGGAAGAGTAGGAGAAACCGGAGGCATCGGGAAGAGGCAGAAGTATGTCCTATACTTCCAGCAACAGGTTCTGATGACAGAGATTCTTAAGCTATAAGGAACAAATTCTGAGGAAGGACACTTGCATGCTGGATTCGAGACTTGGGAGAGGAGTTTGCATTCAATTGCATGTGATTGGTAGCGGAACATGACGGAGAAGTTTCATAGCTGCCTTGGATTTACTGTCCCCAGTGACCCGCACCGGTCACTTGAAAGTGACCGCCCGGTCATATGGCCCTGCCGCCTGCGCCTGTGAACGGGCAGACCACGAAAGAGCAGCATTTTTTTTTTTTATTTTTTTTTTAACTCACCCAGCTACAGTCGCCTCAAGCCCAACAGCGTGATGGCATTAAGTAAACAAAATAATAAATAAATAACTATTATTCGTGAAAAAAAATAAAAACATTATGGGGGTTACCCCCTCGGATGACCCCCACCCGGGATAATCGGTAGAAGGCGCCCACGCCAAAACCTTTTCGGTTTTGGCCACCCAAAGTTTAGCCGTTTGGTACTACCGGCGCAATGACTTGCATCTGGGGTACTACAGGCCCACGCGTCGCTCCAAGGGTCCTACCGGATCATGAATCTGGCGCATAACAGCGCCAAATTCATTTTGATGTAAAAGAGGCCGGGAGTGGTAACGCTGAAGTATCGAATGAATCTGGCGCATAACAACGCCAAATTCATTTTGATGTAAAAGAGGCCGGGAGTGGTAACGCTGAAGTATCGAATGAGGCCCACGTACGCAATTTTGAAAAAGAAGGGCCCTACCGGTTCATGAATCTGGCGGAAAAACAGCGCCAAATTCTTGAACCGGTAATAACAGGCCCAGGGAGATGGGGCCACGGCGCGAAGGCGCCTTTCACCCAGGGGAAAGTTGTTTGGGCCGGTAGTACCAATCGGCCGAACTTTGGGCGGCCGAAACCGAAAAGGTTTTGGCGTGGGCTCTTTCTACCAATTACCCCCCCCCACCCTCCTATAACCCCCCCCGCACCCCCCCCCCCCCCCCCCCAAAAAAAAAAAAAAAAAAGATGGCTCTCTCCCTGAACTCCATGAACTACCACGTGACCGGTGACCGGCCCCCGTTCACCGACCCCGTGAACGGTGAACGGGAGTACGACACTGACTGTCCCTTCCATCTATGCGTCGCCTCTCGGAGTCCTTGTTTCTTCTACCCGATTGACAAGCCTGACTTGACTTGTGCTTTGGATTATCCTCAAGCAAGGTCCGCAATGTGCAGCTACTGGAGCTGAGAGATTCGCTCCCAGTCTCCTGCGCAGGCTTAAAGTTTTCACCTTGAGAGTCGGAACACAGAAACGATGGATGGACGAGTAAGAACCTCACAAGTGCTTCTAGCTCAGCCAACTCTTGTTTCTCCTTCTGCATGACGCCGTGATGGCCATCCAAACTTTTATGATCATCCTGAAAGGAAGGAAACAACAAGTATCTCCTCACCATTTCCTCTCTCTTCTTCTTCTCCGCTTCTTCTGCTGAACGGACCAGTTGCTCCACCGCCTCTTCGTCCTCCTTGAGGAACGTTATACTAGGACCTTTTTCGTAAGTCTCAAGCGACAAAGTAAACAGAAGGAATCTCTTCAAAGTCCTAGAGAACGCTGAAAGAATCTCGTTGTCGCGATCGAACCTTGTCGAAGGGATGAGGCACCGCAGTACGTTTGTGAGCACAGAGCCGGAATGCGGAATCAGGCTCCTGCAATGCTTTATGAACTGACCCTTCCCTCGCTCGGCGCGTGCAAACTGTGTCCTTAAAGAGGAAGAAAACAGATCTAGCCTCCTGAGGTGTAATGCGCGCTCATGCTCTTCGTCCTCCTCCTGTTTTGCTGAATGATCCAAATGCCTGCTTTCTTTCCTAATCGACAAGAAGGTCGAGATCAAGCGTTCGCTCTCATGCATCAGGAACGTTACATTATCGTTTTGCTCTTCTCCGCTCGCTGAACGGAGCATGAAGCAACCTATCTCCAGCCCTCCCTCGTCCACCTCCAGGTCAAATGAGACTTGGCACTTCACCAAACCTCCCCTCTGCCACCTGTCCGCCACCACAATGGTCCCTACATCCACATGGGACCACCACGGAAGAATCTCAACCTGTCTCCTTGCAGAGTTCTTGCAGCTGATCCCAATGGAACATTGCCCTGTAACTGTTACCCCTACTTCCACCGCTGGCCTTGGGTTGTCATCGCCCTGGTTATTCCCGGACTGTCTCCAAAAGCACAATCTCCAAAAGCATCTGTACCGTCCTGGAGGGAGGCGGTATATTCCAAAGCCGCTGACTGTGATCCTCGAGCAGCTGGGAATTTGTGGAATTCTCACCGTTGACTTTGAGCCCCACTGACTTTGACTCTCTGGAAAGTTGTGCAATTTGATAGGGTATTCATGGGAAGACCATTGAGAGCTCCGTAGCGTCAGGCTTTGAGGCGATATGTTCAAGCATACAGCACCAGTCCTTTTGTCCGCATGGTAATAAACAGGCTCTGGACGGGGCAAGGCAGTAAAGAAGGACCATTCCCACCAGAAGTCCCACCAGATGTCCCACCAGAAGGTCCCGAAGCGAGGGTGGTGAGGGAAAAGGAAACCCACACAAAGCTGCCGGTAGCGGCTCATCACAGCTGACGACTTGAAAGGAGAGCCACGGGACTGACTCTTCTTCGCTAAATTAGGAATCAGCGCATGTGCAGGCCGCAGCGGAGGGCCCCGGGGGGCATCAGAAGAGTCATCCGACTGATCAGAAGAGTCATCCGACCGACGCGCAGGGCATAATAAATCATAGATCAGCAGATGTTCAGGCCGCATCAGAGGCTCCCATGTTGCATCAGAATGGGCTGCTAGGGCAAACACCTTGCAAACTCTGGCAGCGCTACAAATGTCTAAGGCTCCAGGCAATCTCCCAAACACGTCGCTCAGCACCTCCAGAGGGAGGTCCGTGATTCGAGTGCCTTGAGAATCTGGCCAGGGCAGGAAATAAGGAAAGGGGAGCTCTGCAAAACCAAGCTGATGGAAAGTCATTGCCGGTCCTCAGCGTCCTCCCGCACTGTGTCCAAAAAAGATGCGCGACTCTGTCATGTGTCAGACACGAAGCACCGCCCTTGAGAGAGTGAAAAACCAATGGGAGGTGACTCAGGGGAGACCCTCAAACTTCTCAACGCTCTCCCTACGCACCAGCAGAACACCGATGTGGAAAATCGTGTGCACTGTTCACAGTGTTCAGGCAAGTAAGTCAATGTGGTCTCAACATGCCCCAGCAGCTTTGCCCATCAAACATCTCTCTCTCTCTCTCTCTCTCTCTCTCTCTCTCTCTCTCTCTCTCTGTGTGTGTGTGGCTCTCTCTCTCTCAGTCTCTCTGTCACTCTGTCTCTCTCTATCTCTCTTTCTCTCAACTGCCACCTTCACGTGTCCCTGACTCCCCTCCTTTACTTTCGTCGGGGAACGCCTGCTCCATGCTACCTGTAGGATGGCAAAGACGATCTGCACAGGTTTTCATGTGGCAATGTTCCGAATTCCAAACGACTGCAACTGCACTTCTGGCTGAGCACGTCAACCAACAAATGCAAATCGAAGTAGGACGGTCCTTTTCTTCAAGAAATTTTCCCATCAAATGACCATCTGCATCGTTGCAACAAATTGATGTTCGACTTCCGTTAACAAACTGCACTGACACTACTGTGAGAAAATCTGCAAAGAAAACAACAATGAAAAAGGAAAGAAAAGAAAAACACAGGCAAAGGCCAAAGAAGAAACACTTGCTGTCATGAAAGAAGCTTCTGAAAAAAAGTCGAACGCATGTCTCAACCGCAATAATAACATGGGGTAATTGCGGAAATAGCGCGTTAAGCTTTTCGAAGTTTGGCTGCAGAAATGGTTTTTTTTTGTTTTTTTTGTTTTTTTGTTTGTTTGTTTGTGTGTGTGTGTGTGTGTGTGTGTGTGTGTGTGTGTGTGTGTGTGTGTGCAAGGAAATCTTGAACGGGTCCGAAAGATCTTTTTTTTTTGCAAGGAAACCGCCTGCAAATAGTTTTTGCTGTGAAACTAACGGGACGTCTGAAGCTGCAACGTGCAACGAAACTTGGGCACCGCAAATATTTTTGCTGTGCAACTACCGCGACGCGCTATTTTTGAGACTTACCCTAATAACATCGTAACAGCGAAAAAAAAAAAAAAAAAAAAAAGGAAGGAAGTACGTTCATGTCACGTCAGAGTTTCATAGGGG